TTTGCAAACAGTACATTGAGATTTTGCATTTACAATAGTGCATTGCAATGCAAAGAGAGCCTCCATTATGCCTAGGCATTATGTAAACACACATTGTAACCTTTACAAAGAAATAAACATTTTATTTATTTATTTATTTATCTAAGGAACCTCCCTTGAGGGGGAAATTCGCATCCTGAAATTTCCACTGGTATCCAGAAGCAAAAAATCGACCGAACGATAGTTCATATCCTGAAAAATTCACATGGTGGGGCGTTCGTAAGCAGAGGTTCCACTTTATTTTATGACTGTTCATGGTTCAATAAGTTAACCCTTTCAAGGTTTCTGACATGCTAGTACAGCTTACGCGCCAGGGTTATTGATGTACTAGTACGCATAAATTCTAGCTCCTTCAAATCAAGCGGGAAACAGCTGGTAGGCCTAGATGTGAGAGAATGGGTCTGAGTGGTGAGTGTGCATGGTAGGAAAAAATTCTGGGACCCAGTGGCGCATTGTGGGAATGCCATTTTAGTACACCTTGCTCACAATGCCTCGCGGTAAGAAACTCCTCACTCCTCGGCGAATTGGGACACTTTTGTTCCCCAGTGACAGCTCTAATGCAGATGGAAGTGCCAGTGAAGATGAGTTTCAAGGTTTTGATGAGGTTGTGACCGAAACTAATGACCATAATACCGGTAATAGTGAGGAAAACCCAGACGACCCTCAGCCTTCCACCTCTGATGCTGGGCCATCTAGTTCACATTCAGATGTACCAGAACCAAAGAGAAAACTCCTATTTTCCCATATCCTGGACTCAGATGTCAGCACTGGTGATGATAGTGATAGTGAATATGAACTCCAAGCTCTTGAAAACAGTTCCAGTAGCAATAGTGAAGTGAAATATTCTCCAGTGAAGCATCAGTATATATGACGGTATATGCGCTCTGGTAGTGTGCCATATGCTATTCCAAGGGGAAGGAGTACAACTCGGAGTACATCCCGTGGCTGTACAACAGGAACAGATAGTGAAAATGAAGATGATAGTGTTGCAATTGGGATGGAAAATATGCATGGAGGTGGTAGTGGTGGTGCCGGCCGTGAAGCACCAGCAGTGGGCCATGCTGCCACCCACGCTGCCACCCACGCTGCTGACTCAGCTGATCTACAACAAAGGCCACCATCCCCCACCCGCCCACCACACCAGCCTCCACAACCACAACCTCCACAACCACAAACTCCACAACCACCTGTCAATATCTGGTACCCACCAGCAGACTGCACCTGGGATTGGCAGGAAGCTGACAATTTTGTTTCAAATCCCCATCAGTTTGATGAAAGGCAAAGTGGAATACAGCCATCTTATCCACTTGGGAACAATGCCAGTGAACTGGAATGTTTCGAGTTATTCTTTGACGAACCCCTGACGGAAATTGTCAGAGAAAGTAATAGATACTTCGATTACACCATGGCAAACACAATATTTTCACCAAAATCACGCCTACACCAGTGGAAGGAGACAACTGTGGCTGAGATGTATCTTTTCTTTGCCACAATAATGCTTATGGCTCATGTGTATAAGCACACTGTGAAATCATACTGGTCAACAGACCACCTGATTGAAATCCCAGGTTTCAGCGATATAATGCGAGTGAATCGATTTGTGCTACTATTACGTATGCAACACTTCTCAGACCAAACCAGGCCTGACAGAAACGACAGGTTATATAAGATTAGGAATGTGTTTGTGTATCTGAAAGAGAAATTCAATATGTATTTTGATCCCTTCAGGAAGCTTGTTATTGATGAGTCTTTGATTCTGTTCAAAGGCAGACTCTCATTCAAGCAGTATATACCAAGCAAGAGGAAATGCTTTGGTATAAAGTTGTTTGTGCTTTATGATTGCTACAGTGGTCTTGTATTGGATATTACTGTGTACACTGGAAGTTATACATTGCACAATACCAGGAAGTTATTGGGCATCTCTGGTGATGTGGTTAGAACAATGATAGAACCATATCTTGGTAAGGGGCATATATTATATACTCATAACTGGTACACAAGCCCCTCACTCAGTGATTTTTTGCGAGTGAAGATGACAGATGTGCGTGGCACAGTGCATGCAAATTGTAAACATATGCCCAGGTTTGGGGCTGGGACTTTGTAGAGGTGAGGTGCAGGCGTTTGCTGCCAATGACATCATGGCATTTCGGTGGCATGACAAACTAGATGTCACACTGTTGTCATCAGTTCACCTTAACAAAATGACGAACACTGGCAGGCAGCATGGAGACAGCAATGAACTCATTCTAAAACCTGCAGCTGTGATTAACTACACCCTCAATATGCACTCACTGGACAAATGTGACATGCAGATTGGGTTTGCTGATTGTGTTCCTAAGAGTTATAAGTGGTACATAAAACTCTTTTTCCATCTTCTGGACATTTCCATGCTCAATGCTTATAATATATATAAGATGAGGACAGAAGCAAACCACCATATGGTGAATTTTGTTTGTCTGTCATCAGACAAATAGTATTCAAGTACCAAGGAACAACACCTGCAATAGACCGCCCACTAAATTATCAACAACTACCTTCTCATCTGAAGCATGGTGATCACTTCCCAATACAACTGCCTGCTACTGCTTTGAAGAAAAAGGCTCAGAAGAGGTGTTATGTCTGTGCACATGCAAAAAAAACGCCCACAACAACGCAGAAACACTCGTTTTATGTGTGAGGAGTGTAAAACACCACTGTGCATGACACCATGTTTCAAAGACTTCCACAGGCTGCAGAACTTCTAGAAACATTCCCTGTGACTGTACATGTGTATATAAAATATAGAAAAATAGTAATAAACAACATTTTATATTGTTTGTGTGTGTAAACAACTTTTATAAACAATATAGTGACAACAGTGTTTGCGCAGTTATTGTGTAGTAAATAAAGAGAAAAAACTTACAAAATAGTGCTCATATTGGTCTCACAGGCCATAAAAGTTACTTGAAACAAAAATAAAAAAATAATAGAAAATAATACCAAAAAAACTAAATACTGTAAACTAAAACTGGGTGATCGGCAGTCAGCGATGTTGCCATATGCTGGTCATTTTCTGTCAACTTCACACCTCCATATCTCAATAAGTATTGATGGTAAAAAATTTTTGTTTAGCCTATAATATTTAAAAAAAAAAAAACACTATCTTTTCATAAGAAAAAATAATTTTTTTTTTTTAAATTTTTCGACCCTGAGAACAAGTCTGGGAGAAGGCCTGTCGACCCTGAAAGGGTTAAGAAAGCAGTATATTATATTATATTTCCCTACAATATACTGGGGAACCAAGCATTCGCCATTTTTCAACATTTGCGAGGTTCTTGATCCCATAACCCTTGCGAATGTTGAAGACCTGTAATACAAAAATGAGAAAAAAAAAAGTATATCGGCAACACTTCTGCAAGCTGCAGGATTCCATCTTGCTGTCAGGTGAGCATCCAGCACCAATTTCGTGGTCTTATATCTCAGTAAGTGCTGGTCCTATATTTTTTTTTAATTTGGTTTTATTCCACACAGAAAATTGCCCTCTTTAATTTAAAAAAGAAAATATATATATTTTTTTAAAATATTCAGAGCGCTGGGCAAGTGAACATAGATCTACATTTGGATAGTTAATGGGTTAATAGTAATGACTGGCTAAAAATACTATTTTACTACACCTCTGAACAACATCCAATTCAGTGGACCCCAGGTTATCGGCCGGTTTGGTTATCGGCCAACTCGGTTATCGGCGGGGTTTTGGGCGCTCAGTTATCAGCCATTTTGGACGCGTCCATCCACCGGCTGGGGCAGCCTGCGCTTCAGTTTGGCTTTGTCTCTCGGTGGCTGAAGAAGCTTCTGCTCATACATCCAAACATTTCACTTGTTTACCATTGTTTTTAGTGGTTTTCTTGCAGTGCAACTGTGAAATAAGTAACCATGGCTCCATGGCAAGGCTTGGAAGGGAGTGACTTCACAGACTTTGAATTCTGCTTGGAGAAAACTGTGGCCAGATTGTGTCCAAGAGAGGGATTTTGAAGGGTTTGAAACTCACCGTGACCCTGACCCTGCCAACCCTGTGGACTCTATTGTGTCTTTGGGGAAGTCCCTGGGGTTGGAGGCAAGTGGTGAAGATGTGGAAGAGTTGGTGGAGGACCACAGGGAAGAGCTTACCACTGAAGAGCTACAAGAGCTTCAACTTGAACAGCAACAGACTGCAGCTGAGGAACTTGCATCAGAGGAGAAGGAAGAGGGAGTGAAGGAGGTGCCTTCTTCAGAGATTAAAGAAGTGTGTGCAATGTGGACCAGGGTGCAAGCTTTTGTAGAGAAACACCACCCTGACAAAGCTGAAACAAGCCATATCTGCAACATGTTTAGTGACAAAACCCTGTCCCACTTCAGGGAAATCTTAAATAGATGCCAGAAACAGAGCACTCTGGACAGTTATTTTCTGAGACAGGGGTCCAGTGACTCTCAAGCTGGTCCTAGAGGCAATAAAAGACAGAGAAGGGAAGTAACTCCAGAGACAGATTTGCTACCTAAAGTCTTTATGGAGGGGGATTCCTCTTCCAAACACTAACTCCTCCCTCTTTCCTCCTCCCTATCTTCCAGAAGCCAGCATTAGCCTTCAATAAAGGTATGTAATACTTACATAATTGTAAAAAAAATTATTTTTTTGTGAATATTTTTGTTTGAAACGAATTAATTTTATTTCCATTAATTCTTATGGGAAATATTAATTCGGTTATCGGCCATTTCAGTTATCGGCCGACCTTCAGGAACGGATTACGGCCGATAACCGGGGGTCCACTGTATCTCAAAAGTTTTGTTATGACAAACAACACTGATCCTGATTATTTCAGTTTTAACACATCCTACCATGTTATGAACACAAAATATACTGCTTATAGATTCTTATTACAGTACTTTCACATTGAATTTCAGAGAATTCACTCCTTAAACAGCCAATACTGCTTGTGGGAGCTTACCTGTAAGACCCAACACAGTCCACAGCTCCCTGGTAGTAAAGATATGGGTGGATTAAGCGACTCTCCAACACGTTGACATCAGACACGTTTGGCAGAATTTGCCTGAGACTTGTCCAAAAGCCTTGTAATGTTGGGAAATCTTCAATAAGTGGAGACTGACCACTGAGTTCTGACTGAATACAACTATGGAGCAACATTCCACGGTTTAGCAAACCTATAAGGAAAATATGTAAAATCATGTATTATTTTATTCACGAGTGCAACATTTTTTCTGGAATATGTAACCTTCAGTTTAATGGATGACAGATTTATACGATTTACAAAGCACCAGACACATCTGCTTATTCAGCACCTTGAATACATATAGAAAGTTGACAACTTTATCAGTTTCCTATTAACATTATGAGCTTGTTGCTACCTTGACCAAATTACTGATATTATATAAATTGTAATGAAGGGGCAATTAAAACAATTTGACAATTACAGTGGTACCTTGGTATATGTCCACTTTGGAATAAGTCCAACTTGGTATACGTCCTGTTTGGACATGAAAAGTTTTGCTTAGTACATGACCTTTGTTTGGAATGCGACTTGCGTGCTAGAATTTGTATGGGTCAAAATGAGTCACAACACCGTGCACTATCCTTATTTACCTCTCTCTCAAGACAAAGCCACGACTCCCCACTAGCGTCAGTATGCCCGTTGCTGCCATTCAATGAACAACCAGTGCTATAATGTGATTTTGTGGAGCACAAGACTAAGATGGATGCATTCTCTTCAGGCTCGGAAGAGGAGATAGAGGAAGTCCCTACTTCATTAATCAAGGAAATCTTTGCCAAATGGATGAACATCAAAAACTTTGCAGAGAAGTACCGCCCCCAACCAAGCCCAAACAAACCGTAATAGCATTGTCTGGAATGACCAGACAATGTCACATTTCCGAAATATCCTGAGGAGAAGGCAGACGCAAAGTTCTTTGCTTGGTGAGCTTGAACCAGGTCCAAACAGGGAAAAAGAGACAGAAAAGAGAAGGGGACTCTCCTTCCAAACAATAACATTTCCTCCTCCTCCTCCCTTCTTAGCACTATCCTAGTAGGCATTTGACTCTTTTCAGCAAAGTAAAGTGAGGTTCAATTTGCATTTATTTCATCTAATTCTTTTGTACTTATGTATTTTAGAATTAAGCAGTGTTTAAATTACAGTGGAACCCCAGTTTTCGTCCCGTCCAGTTATCATACAATTCAGTTTTCGACCACTTTTTTTCTGCGAAATTTTCCCTGTTTTTGTACATCCGCTCAGAAATCGTCCGTACCAGGCGTACTCGCCTGCCTGCGGGACGCAGCTGCTCATACGTTCATGACTCAGTCTGCCTTTGTTACTCGTTTAGTAAGCATTACTCCATGCATTCATCCGAGACATTTCGTAATAATCCATTGTTTTTTGTGTTTGTGACTGATAAATGAGCCACCATGGGGCCAAAGAAAGTTCCGAGTGCCAGCCCTTTGGTAAAGAAAGTGAGAAACATGATAGAATTCAAGAAAGAACTCTAGTGTGTCTTTGGGAAAGTCCATGGGGTTGGAGGTGAGTGGCCAGGATGTGGAAGAATTGGTGCACGACCACATGAAAGAGCCAACCACTGAAGAGCTGCAAGATCTTCATTTGGAACAGCAACAGACCTTATCTGAGGAAATTGCTTCAGAGGAGGAGGAATTTAGAAGGGAGAATGTGCCTTCTTCAGCGATTAAGGACATTTGTGCAAAGTGGAATGAGGTGCAAAGTCTTGTGGAGAAATATCACCCTAACAAAACTGTTGCAAGCCGCATCAGCAACATGTTCAATGACAATGCCGTGTCCCATTTTAGGCAACTCTTAAAGAGACACCAGAAACAGGCCTCTCTGAACAGATTTTTTTTGTGCGACAGGGGTCCAGTGACTCTCCAGCTAGTCCTAGTGCTAGTAAAAGACAAAGAAGGGAAGTAACCTCAGATAGAGCTTTGATACCTGAAGTCCTTATGGAGGGGGATTCCCCTTCCAAACAATAACCTCTCCTCCCTCTCCCCTCCTCACTATCTTCCATACTCCAACAAGTGTCTTCAATAGAGGTAAAAGTGATGGTAAATGTTCATTTATCCATTTTGTTAGTCATTCATATTTATTCTTCAATGTTTTCTGTATGTAAAACTATAGTTATTCTCTATAAAATGTATTTTTTGTTAATATTTTTGGGTGTCTGGAATGGATTAATTGGATTTACATTATTTCTTATGGGAAATATTACTTCAGTTTTTGTACAAATCGGTGTTCGGCCGACTTTCTGGAATGGATTAAAGACAAAAACTGGGGTTCCATTGTACATATTTTAGTATTAAGCAGTGTCTAAATTATTTTATACAACCCCATCAATATATAATATGCCAATAACAACAGGATTTTTTTTCATGGGAACAGATTAATCATTTTCCCTATATGTCATATGGGAAAATTCATTTGGTATACATCCTGTTTGGCATAAGTCTAAGGATGTATACCACAGTACTACTGTATTTATATTCCACAAACCATATTCAAAAATTATTCCATATCATTAACCTCAGATCAAATAAAGTTTACCCACAAGGGGAAAAATATGCTAGGTTCTTAATGAGACAAGCACCCAATGAGAAGTGGCATCTTTGCTGCAGAAGAAAGATCCCAGGAAACTCACTACCAATATAGTATGCTCCTCACTTAGCAACAAATTCGTTTGCTGCCATGGTCTTACGAACAGAACTCCTTTGTTAAGTGAGGAGAGGCTGTATAGTATCTTGAATCATTGTCCTTTTGCATATACATTGGTTTTACAGTAGACCCCCGGCTTTTGTAATTAATGCGTTCCAGAAGGTTGGCCGAAGTCTGAAATGGCCAAAAACCGAAGTAATATTTCCCATAAGAATTAATGACCGTTGCAACCCCAAATCCTGAGGTGCCTCCTGGTGTCGCAAAATTTCAAAAAAAATTTTTTTTTTTTCTTATGAATGATAGAGAATCTTTTCCCGATTGTAATGACACCAAAAGAATGAAATTTGATGGAAAACTGATGGAATTACGCTCTCATGAAGTTAGCGACCTCGGCGATATTTACAAATCGGCAATTTCACCCACTTTGAGCCCCATTTTTGGCTAATTCCATTGTTCCAGTCGACCAAACTCATACATATTTCTCTAGAACTCCATTTTTTCTATCGATTGAGTACAAGAAACCACCCATTTACCAATTTCAACTACCCAATAAGGTGGTCAGAAATTTGCAATTTGGCCAATTTCATGAAAATTAAAAAATATGACAATTTCAAAATAGGATCCAGAATGAACAATGCAGACACTCGTGGCTCTAAAATAACATTTTCTTTGTTCATCAGTTACGTCTCCAGGCCCCTCAGATATTACTCTTGCTTTCTATTTTGAATTTTTATTCAAACAAAACATAGAAGAATTACTGGTATGCAGACTACTGCAATATTGTAATAATTGTATAAATAATGTCAACCCATTCATGATTACATATTAGAATGGCTACTTACACATTTATTGGAAAATGACATCATTAGTTTACTTTTGAACATCGACAAAAATCAAATATTTCCCCTACTTTGAGCTCCATTCCAAGGTTCTTTTCATAGTAAAACCATCAAAATCACCTCTATTTCTATAATATGTTTTCCAGTCTATCAAATGAGACCAAGAAAACGAGAATACAACCATAAATACTATACGAAAATAGACCACAAAGTCGGTATTTTAATTAAAAAAAAAAGGTCGGGGTTTCTTTTTTCTCATTATACACTGCGTGCTGCAGGACTTTTTTTATATGGTGCACACAGACCCATTCTCTCATATGTGGGCCTACCAGCTTTCTCCTGCTTGATATGAAGCCACTAGAATTTATGAGTATACAGTGGACCCTCAGCTAACGATATTAATCTGTTCCTGAAAGCTCATCGTTAGCTGAAATTATCGTTAGCTGAATTAATTTTACCCATAAGAAATAATGGAAATCAAATTAATCCGTGCAAGACACCACAAAGTATGAAAAAAAAATTTTTTTACTACATGAAATATTAATTTTAATACACACAACTGACACTTGCCTTTATTGAAGATCTAGTGATGATTGATGGGATGGGAGGAGGGGAGAGAATGGAAGTTGTTAATGTTTAGAAGGGGAATCCCCTTCCATTAGGACTTGAGGCAGCACGTCCTTTTCCGGGGTTACTTCCCTTCTTCTTTTAATGCCACTAGGACCAGCTGACCGTGGTGCAGCAACAGCTGACCGTGGTGCAGCAACAGCTGACTTTGGTGCAGCAGCAGCTGACCATGGTGCAGCAGCAGCTGACTGTGGTGCAGCAGCAGCTGATCGTGGTTCAGCAACAGCTGACTGGTGCAGCAACAGCTGACCGTGGTCTAGCAACAGCTGATGGTGGTGTAAATAACAAAAAGGCACAATACCGTGACTGGAACGATACACAAATAACCCGCACATAAAAGAGAGAAGCTTACGACGACGTTTCGGTCCGACTTGGACCATTGACAAAGTCACAGTGTGACTTTGTCAATGGTCCAAGTCGGACCGAAACGTCGTCGTAAGCTTCTCTCTTTTATGTGCGGGTTATTTGTGTATGGTGGTGTAGCAGCAGCTGACTGTGGTGCAGCAGCAGCTTACTGTGGTGCAGCAGCAGCTGACTGTGGTGCAGCAGCAGCTGACCGTGGCGCAACAGCAGCTGACCGTGGTTCAGCAACAGCTGACTGGTGTAGCAACAGCTGACTGGTGCAGCAACAGCTGACCATGGTTCAGCAACAGCTGACTGGTGCAGCAACAGCTGACTGTGGTTCAGCAACAGCTGACTGTGGTGCAGCAGCAGCTGACTGTGGTGCAGCAGCAGCTGGCTGTGGTGCAGCAGCAGCTGACCATGGTGTAGCAGCAGCTGACTGTGGTGCAGATGGCAGCAGTTGACCATGGTGCAGATGGCAGCAGCTGACCGTGGTACGATAGTACGTATTTCCCACCCTTTTTACATATGATGGCTTGAGAGATGGTATCTCCTGCTATCTGTTTTTCGTTTATCCACTTCATTTCCATAGTAATTTTCACCTTTTTTACCGCACGGTTGGCACGGTGACTTATTTTGCAGGTACAATCACTAAAAACGCTGTGATAATATGAAATGTTCCGATTGT